TGGTTCATGGGGTCACGAAGAGTCGGACACGACTTAACGACTAAACAACAACAACAGACTAGGGAATTGTAGGACAAATGAAAAATGTTTCTTACAGGGTGTACATGAGCACAGTTACAGAATCTTGATTTAAGAATGATTTGAAACTACAGCGACAGAAGAGGGCTGTAGTAATGTAGCATTTAAGACACTGAGCTACAAATTAAGAAGCCATCTGCCACAAACTCAGAAGATAAATATAGGCCTGCCACTCCTTCTCAGCCTCTGTGTCTATAACTGGTATTTTACAGAGTTTCAAAACACTGAAATTATTGTATAAATGGTAAGCAGTAGCAGAAGCAAGGTGGGTTAAAGAAGATACTTGCTTTGACACAGGATGGCTTGAAAAACTTCTATAAAGCAGAAATTGTTAACTGCAAAGCTCAGATAGGCACATCCTGAGCCTGCTAAAATTCACCCCTTTTTAAGTAATATAATTAATACCATTACAGTTATATTTGTTAATTAAGTTTTATAAGTTCTGTGCTTTTTAATTGTGTGGAATAGAATGTGACCAGTATTGCATGACTGGACAGCCAGATTCATGCCTAAACCAAAACACACACTTTCCCATTGGATTTGAACCGTTCACGTGTGGTCTCGGCATAAACCTTGAAGTGGCATCTTCTAGGCCCAGGAATTCTGGATAGCAGAGGGTGGGGAGACAGCAGCGACAAGGCAAAGCTGGTGGTGGTGAAGGGAAGAAAAAGAGAAGGCAGGCCTTAGGACAGTGGGACAAGGGGCAGGTGGGCTGACTGGAGTATGCTGTGCTTGAATTCAAACATGTAAAGGGGACATGAATCAAGGTGCTGGAATGATTGGAAGAACGGGTAAGGGAACGTGGGCCATTTGTGTTGTGCCATGCTTGAACTTAAGTGTGGCAGTGGCAGCAAAGGCAAGAGAAAGGAATCACTTTTAGTTCAGAAAGTTAATAGAAATTGTAAGCTTGTATTTGTTTCTGTCTTCCCAAGTCTCTCCATCAACAAAAGTATTAGAAAGTCCCTCCTTATGACCCTCCATGCGACAATCTTACAATGGTATCAGTAAGAGAAAACTGTACTCTCATATGTTGGATGTAATTATTTTTTAAACTCTTCTTTTGGAATTTAAATCCAAATTCCAATCCATATATTAACCAAGGGCCCATTTCAAATGTTTCTGTTTTTGAAATGATCAGATTGATACTTTTCATTCAAGACAGTAAAATTAATAGGTGGAAGTTTAATTATTTCAGTATTCTGTAACGTTCATGGCAGAAAGGTGGATAATTGTTCAGCATTGTTTGGATAAGCTGTGCTCAGTTCAGTTTTGAGGCCTCTGAGCAGCCCCTCCCTTCCATAAACCACACTGTGAAATCAGTGACAATAAGACTGTTTGCACAAACAGGTTTATCTGCATGCTGGAGGCCTTTACATGTATCACTGCTCACTAGACGGACAACAGCTGTACACACAAAAGCCGAATGCAATGGGACAGACACTCTGCCCACAAGCACTATATCCTCACTTATGTCACAGTTAATTTATAGGAGGAAAAGGCTGCTCATCATCATTTTTAAATTTTATTTGTGCCTTCAAGTCAGTTTTTGACTCCTGGCAACTGCCCAGACAAGTCCCTGTAGTTTCCTTGGCAAGATTTTCAGAAGTGGTTTGCCACTGCCTCCTTCCTAGGGCTGAGAGAGAGTGACTGGCCCAGGGTCACCCAGCTGGCTTTGTGC